CCAGGTTGACACAATAAATTTTAACTATCTCATTACTGATTGAGGAGCTTCACCTTACTATGGAACTGGGGACAGCATGCCACACTGGTGGGGTACTTGATAATCTTTAATGGGTTCTGTAGATGTTATTTGGTAGATAATCTCAGCCTCCAAGCTTGATGGCATCCCCTTGAAGGTCTAGGGACCATGGGCACTGCCTCTGCCTCTGCCCCTCTGCTTTCTTGCTTGCTGGAATTCTTGCCTCGAGAGGTTGGCACCATATGGGCCACCCGGCCCTGAGAGCTGCCGGCACCCCACCATGTCCTCACCGAGTCTGGACCACCACCCAGTGATCTCCCTGCTTCCTGGTTCACCTTTCTGCGTCTGAAGAGGGGCTTATGGCCGGGCATCTGACTTAGACTTTGTGTTGGATTGTGATGCCCCCTGGATATTTAATTACGCGTGATGGAAAGCGCTTTCTCAGCCATACACGTGTGTCTCTGGTTTGTTTCTCTAGACCACTCGGCCTTGCATAGACGTCATCACAGAACGGAATCCCAGCCACGGGGCTGATCTCACCCCTGTGCCGGAGGACGGGCCGTCAGAGCAGGCGTCTTGTTTCATTCCCAGGACCCCACCAGGCACACCGGCTCTGCATCTCCCATGCTCAGAGGGCGGGGAGGAGCGGACCCACACCTACCTGTCGACCTCCTCCTTCATGTAGGTGGTGTAGCTGTTCCCGTTGTAAGACAGCAGCAGCCCGCCATCATTGAGCCGATGGGCGTCAATCTCGATGTGACAGCCGTTCATGATGAGCACGAACATGGTCAGAGACTGGCGGGCCACCTGTGGAGACGGCTCGATGGCACCCCCTGGAGGCAGGCCTGCGGTCCCAGGGCTTCCCGAGGTCCACCTGGTCCCTTTGCTGCAGGGGGTCTGGGGTGGGCGGCTCCATCTCTCTCGCCTCAGCCCTTACTCCTGGCCCAGGAGCAGTTAGAGGGGTCTGGGGTGGGTGAGCCTCCCTGCCCTGGGGGAAGCGAATCCCAGTCCAGCTAACACCACCAGCTCTGGGGGCTGGAGGGCTTCTGTCTGCATCTGTCTCCCAGTGTGAGTCCACCCAAGTGGGACCACCTTGTGGGGCAGGAAGGTGCCAGGCGGCCCACGACCTTCACAGCTGGACTACACATGGGCCCTGGCCCTGCTCCTGGAAGTAGACCTAGGTGGCTATGCCAGCCCAGCCATGTTCCGCCGTGCTCCCCACATATGCCTCATCTCCACACACGCCGTCTGACAGCTAGGTTATTGGGGTTCCAAAGGCACAGGGCTGCATAGGGGGCATGAAGGCTCAGCCCTAGGCGACAGAAATGGCCTTCAGGAAGATGGCCTGGGGGGTGGCCTCCGGGAACCCAAGCCCCACCTTGAGCATGTACTTGACGCCTCCGTGAATGAGCTCCACGTCCACCATGTTGAGCAGGGAATCCGCCGGGAGAACTTGGCCCCTGGGAGAGAAGGCATGTCACCTGGCGAAGGCCTTCCCCTTCGGCCGACACGAGCACCCCGTTCTCCACCTTTCCTCAACTCGCTCACCACCACCACGGGTCAATTCCAACTCACAGTGACCCCGTCGGACAGAGTAGAACTGCCTCTGTGGGTTTCCAAGGCCGTCAACCTTTAGAGGGGCAGAACGCTTGGTCTTTCTCCCACAGATCGGCTGGTGGTTCCGAACCCCTGACCTTGTGGTGAGCCAGCAACCCAACACTTAACCCACTACACCACCAGGGCTCCTACCAACGAGCTCTCGAGCTCAGTCCGACTCTCAGTGACCCTCTAGGACAGGGTGGGATGGGCCCTGGGGGCTGCTGAGATGGGAACTCCTTACAGGAGTAGAGAGAGCCCCCCCTTTCTCCTGCTGAGTGGCTGCAAAGATGGGTGAAATGGAGAACATCCTGTTCCATGTCTCTCTCTCTCACACACGCACATGTGGGCACACGCATGCACGCGCACGTGCATACACACGTGTGTGCACATTCATGCATATACACATACATACACATGTGTGCACATCCATGCGTGCGCACATGCACACACATACATGCACGCATGCACAAACATTCATACACATGCATGCGCACACACATACACACACAAACACCCATGCATGCACACACATAGACCCACACATACACGCATGCATACACATGTACGTGTACGTACATACACACAAACACCATGCGTGCACACATGCGCACACAAAAACACATACATACACGCGAGGAAGGTGGAATCTCCCAAGGAGATGAACATTTCTGAGAACTTAAGGAAGCTGCAGCTGTTGGAGGACATGACATGCTTAACAGGCTTGTCAGAAAGTTTCTGCTCCAGAACGTTCTGTATCGAGCGTCTCGGGAAGAGAGCCCTGTGACCATGTATGGAGGGCTACTGTCCTTTTTCTTTCTCTTGCTCGATCTTACTGCCCATCTCCCTGGGGCTTAACTGTGGGGCCTGTGGCCTCCGAGGGGACATGTGGCCACGCCTGGGGACACAGATTTGGCTGTCCAGACTTGCGGGGGAGAGGAGATGCTCTGCACCCCACCACGCATCCCACCCACAGCCAATAGCTCCGCCCCACACAGGGAGAGACCTGGCCTCTCCTACCAGGGGCACCTCTGGTCACCTCCCACTCTCACCCACTTCACCGGCCACCATGCAAGTCAGGTGAGGGTCTAGGCAGGCAGCCACTGTACAGGTGACCTGTAACCTGTTCTCCATCCGATCAGTTCCTTCTCTTTGCAAACGCTTGCTCGGTAGGGTACACCGGTCAGCCTTACAGTCACTCACCCCACCCCCAGTCCTCCAGCCACGTCCCCTCATCCCTCCACCAGGTTCTTCACAGATGGCCTGGTGCCCACGTGCCCTCCCTGCCTCTCTCACGCAGCTGACACCTGCGACAGCAGGGCCAGAGGTAGCCACGAGCCCCACCTTTCCAGGGAGTGTAAGAAGTCCGTCATGCAGGTCCTGAACATCGCATCGGCCACGTTGAGGGCTCCGCACACCACTCCGAGCATGACATCCGGCTTCTCGGCCTGGGAGAAGCTGTGCTTCAGTCTCCATGGCAGCCCCAGCCCCCACCTCCAGCTCTGCGTGTGGTGGCGGGTGGGGCCGGGGCGGGGCTCCCGGCAGGCTCCTACCTGCACTTTCTGGGCGATGAGGTGGTCCAACCAGCCGGTGTCGATGTCGTTGTTCTGGAAGCTCTCGGTCTCCAGGAGGTTAATGAGGTACTCCACGGTGGTCCTGAAGTCCCCCCGGATGGACAGCTCCTTCAGGGCCACCACCATGTTCCTGGAGGGGAAACGCAAGGCTTTCGGACTCATCCCACTGGCCAATCAATCTCCCGTGACTGTGTTTACGATGACTCAGTTAGTGCTAGGGTGGCCAGAAAACACCAGCGGCTAAGGGAGGGCACTGGGGCGGATGACCCAGCTCTTCTGTTCATTGGCTGTGTCCCATCCACCAAGTGACTTATCGTAACCACTCCAGGCCACTGTTTTCAGCTGAGGAATGGGGCAATAACTCTAGCTCCGGGAGCCCTGGTGGCGTAGGGCTGCTAATCACAAGGCCAGCAGTTCAAAACCACCTGTCGCTCTGAAAGGCCAAAATGAGGCTCTCTACTTCAGTGAAGAGTTATAGTCTCGGAAACCCACAGGGGCAGTTCTGCCTGATCTGTAGGGTCACACAGGATGCGTCAGAATGGACTCAATGGCAGTGAATGAGTGAGTGAGCCTTAATTCCACATGGGCGTTTGAGGGTGCACCCAAGGAAATGCATGTAAAGCACCTGGCAAATGATCCACAAATGCTGACAGCTGGGAACACGCCAGTGGCTGTCATGCCAATGCTGGTTAGCCACTCTCTCTGCCTCCCCACATCGCCTACTCCAACCAACTCATGTCCCTAGGGCTGGTCTCGCCCCCTCACGGGCCCCACAGAGGCATGGCGATCACCAGGCCACCAGCTGGCATAGGCTGGGCTGCTAACACCCCCTCTGACTCCAAGGAGCACACACACCCCCACCCCCGTCTAAAGGCCAATCCCTCCACTAGCAATGGAATCGCAGTGAGCGTATACGGGGAAGAAATGCATCAAAGGCAGGCAAGGCTTTACCATTTCTTCCTGGGAGATGCTAGAAGTTCCCACATGTGGCATTCTCTGGAAATCCAGGCTCTCTGGGTCCATGAAGGCTGAATAAGACCTAGAAGCTACTGCCCAGATTATCACCTTTAAGTCTTAAACCAAAAAAGCATCCCCTGAGGCTTTCTTCCACTGTCTGCCTCAAGCCTGACACTCCTTTCTAGAACGATCTCTACGGGGTCAAACAGCAGGGCAACTCAAAAGGTTAGACAGGAACCTTGGAGTACAAAGAGCCTATGCTGAAACAGGAGGAGTAGTTCAGAACCGGGGGGGTCCCCGCGGTTGCCCAACTTGGAGACTGTCACCAATGTCACCGAGCGGTACCTGTAGAAACTGCCGAGTTGGTGCTGGGTCTGTGGTGCGCCTGCTTCACGGTGGTAAAACTCAATGAAAGTGGTTAAAATAGAAACAAAACAGAGCCCACGTGGAGTCCGCAGGTGTGAGGAAGGAACAATGACCGGCCTTCCTTTGGGGTGAGAGGTCAAATGAGGGGGCACAAGGGTATAGAGTCAGTTGTAGAACAGGAGCCAGCACCTGGGAGGTTAAGCCACTGGACTCTAGGACATCAGTTCCCAAACTTATTTGGCCCATTAGCCCCTTTTCAGAAAAAAAACAACAAAAAAAACAACAACAAAAACTTAGCACCCTCCCTGGCAACAAAACACTTTTGTGCTAGAGCTTATCAACCCAAACTCACTGTCATTGAGTCAGTTCTGACTCATAGAACCCTGGTGGCCTAGTGAGCTAAGTTTCGGGCTACTAACCACGAGGTCAAAAGTTCGAAACCACCAGCCACTCTGTGGGAGAAAAACGAGGCTTTCTACTCCCACAAGGAGCTACAGTCTCAGACACCCACAGGGGCAGTTCTACCCTGTCCTATCGGTTCCGTAGGACTTTGTAGCTCAAGTCCAGGTTACAGTGTAGGTATCTGTCTTTGCGGGGCCACCCACCCCATCCCCTCCACCCCCCATCATTCCAGTAACACCAGGGAGAAGCACTGTTCTCGTGTGACCCATTTATCCATTGTCTCAGGATTTCCCATTTTTTGCACCAAAAGGACACAAAAGACTTTCTGGGAAGTCCTAGGAACACCAGGACAGATGGCCACCCCGCCGGGTTCTGACCAACAGGCTCAGAGAAGCGAACTATTTTTCCTGCTGAATGCCACTGAGGTGTGACGGGTGGGGCAGTGAGCGCATGGGACAAGCCTCAGGTCACTGCATTCACAGCAGGCTGGGCGGACTCGGTCCACCTCCTTCTGCTAAACAACAAGCTTCCGGAAGCCCTCCAACAGGGCTAAAACTCACAACTCTAAGTCGGCCAAGAAAGCCGGTTCAGCAGAACCAAATTCCTGTCAGTCTTGGCTAAGCATCCCTGGCCAGGAGGCCGGGCTCTTACAAACGAGGTGTCCACGATGCCTTTGGGGGTTTCGACTGTCAAGGGCAGCTCTCCACCTACCAAAGGGTTAATGAGAGTGGAAACGACTTTTTACACTTGTGAGTCGAGGGCAGAAATGTCCAGCATGGGGGTTTCAGGATCTGGGGATGCCCTTTGGCGGTGTTCGGCTCTGCCGAAAGTGCCAGGTGTGGACTTCTCTGGACCCAGTGGGCCCAACCCTCCGTGTGGTGAGCTGTCTGTAGCAGACACCAGACTCCGATAAAACCCACGGCCGTCAACCAAGTCGCTGTCAATCAAGAATCACTGTGACCCTGTTAGGACAGGGGAGAACTACCCCTGTGGGCTTCCAAGACTGTAGTTCTTTACGGGAGTAGAATGCCTCATTTTTCTCCCGCAGAGTAGCTGGTGCTTTTGAACTGCTGACCTTGTGGTTAGTAGCCCAACTCATAACCACTTCACCACATTCTACCAAGCCAGAAACTCATATGACGACCCAATAGGGCAGGATAGAACTGCCCCGGTAGGTTTCCACTGTAACTCTTTGGGGACTACAAAACCCTCTGCTACTAAGTCAGTTCTGACTCATATAACCCCATAGGACGGAGCAAAACTGCCCCTTGGGGGTTCCTGAAGGGGTAAATCTTTAGGGGAGCAGAAAGCCTCATCTTTCTGCCAAGGAGTGACTGGTGGGCTCAAACCCCTGGCCTTGCAGTTAGCTGCTGCATGGCTAACCACTGCGCCACCAGGGCTCACTGTGGCGGACACAGGCCTAGGAAGCAGAGATGGGAGATGCAGCCTCAGCAAGGACGGTTTCAGGTTTAAGTTTGGGGTAGTCTCCTCAGCCCTTTGAACTTCTGCTATCACTCGGGTGACCTTTGGGGCTCCCATCAGTTGCGACTTCTGCTACATGATGGACAAGTGACCTCGGGCGGGCTCCCTCTACTTTACTCCCACACACAACGAAGGGCAGAGGCTCAACGCTGGGCACGCAGGCCCAGGGCATCTCAAACAGTCTGCCCTGTGTTTCTCCTGCCTTTGTCTCCTATGAAGCCGGGCACCCGAAGCCACGGGCTAACTGTCTGTACCCAAGGAGGAGAGGGGGCGGGAGGGAGGTACTGACGAAATGGCCTCCTCTCGGTTCTCTCCCCAGGAGAAGCAGTGCCCGAACTGAGAGTCCGCAAACTCGTGCAGGCCACCGGCCGCCGCCACGCTGAAGTAGCCCCACACGTTCTTGTTGCTGCGGAAATTCAGCTCCTGCACCGTCCCGGAGCTCGGCTTAAAACCCTGGAGCCCGGAGGGAAGAAGGAAAAGAAACAAACAGACAGAAAATGGAAGAAATGGTCACTCCAGATGGATTGATAAGGCTGCCAACAGGATCAACCTCCAGTCACAGTGGCCCTACCCACCCTGGCACGAAACCAGACCGTCCTGGTGCATGGGGTTTTCACTGCCCTTCTTCCTCGTCTTAGTCTGGCAGCTCTGCTGAAAACCCACTCCGTGCCAGCCGACAGGAGGTGGCAGTGCAGGAGAAGCACTGGCCGGGGGTAAAAACGATGTTGCCTGCCTGGAGGACGCAGGAATTCTAGCACGGGAATTCTCCTGACACTCCCCAACTCCAGAGACAGTCTAATCCGAACTCAGCCCCAGGGGGTGATGGGAAATGGTTAGGAACGGACCTTTTTGAGGCTCAATATCTCACTGACAAAGGGCTAGTTTTTTTGTCCTATGGCAAGATGCCCCAGTGCGGTGATAGGACTGACGTAGCCTCTTGGGTGCACTGACCGGGCTGTGCAGTCGCAGCCCCGGCAGATCCCAGGTGGAGGTGTTGGACACGGTACTGCAGCCTCGCCGCTGCAGAGCAGGGCCTGCGGGGCCCACTGTGGCTGGGAATGCCCTACAGTGAGCGGTGAGGACACTGAGGGTCCCTGTGCTGACGCTGCCCGGCCACTCCTGCGGCGCGCGCGGTATCCCCTCTGGACAACGGTAGACACCTTCCAAGACGAGGGGCCCGGGTCGGCCCCAAGCTGGGAGATCTGAGATTCTGGGAATGCAGGGGCCCCACTACTTGCCTCATCCGGGTTTTCGCTGGTGATTCTGGCAGCAATGACGTGACCTCGGGGCAGTGGAGGGTTGGCGGGGGTCTCGAAAGAGATGGGTGTCAGTGCCCACGGTGACTCCCCGTATAAAAGCCGGATGTCCTTCAGCCGGTGCAATGGTACACCCATGGCGATCTAAGACCAAGAAATGCACGTGCAGATGGTGAGACCAACCAGCCGCAGTGCCGGATGCAACCTAGGAAGGAGCTCGATACATTGTGTCAGACTGGTTGACACTTATGTGTACAACCTCATTCCATACTGTGAACAGAGACACAAAGACAATACATTGTGTCAGACTGGTTGACACTTATGAGTACAACCTCATTCCTTATGTGAACAGAGCCGCAAAGACAATACATTGTGTCAGGCTGGTTGACACTTAGTATACAACCATATTCCATACTGTGAACAGAGACGCAAAGACAGGAAAGGTCCTCGGGCTCCACACTGCCCCTCAGAGTGCAGGACTCAAACAACGTTTCATGAAGCATCATGTCACAAAAAGACACGTATGTTTACAAACACCTAAGTGAGGTGTCAACTAAGTCCACGTGGACGAGGCACATCAGCCTGTGGGAGCCAAGGATTGTAAGAATATAATAATAAAAAAAGAATATAATCCAAATCCAAAGGAGGGAATGCTATCAGAGGCTACATCATGACACCTGGTTTGGAGAGGGATATGGATGACCGTGGAAGGCCAACATGCATTGCAGGTCCACACCTGGATTAAGGCTCTGATGAACCCCCTCTGCTCATAGTTGATGATATTATATTATATATTAAAGAATGCCTTGTTATTTGACAGAGCACACTGGAAAGACAATTACGGCAGATGTAGTTATGTTAAATTATTGTATTATCATCTTTTCTTTTGAACTCCCTTTGGACCCATTTTAAAGTTGCTTCAGTTAAAAAAAAAAGGGAAGTTCATGCATGTGGATTAAGCCTCCAGGGGACGCCCTCTGCCCATGGACCAGGGATGTGAATAGTCTGGCTGCCAGGAAGACCGCCTTGGAAAGTGGACGATTGCAGATGCAGCTAAGTTAAAATGTAGCACCTTATTATCTGATCTCCATGATGGTTCATTTAACATTTTTCTAGTTTTTAATGTTTTCTGCTTTCTTTTAGAGTGAGGATTGCATCTGTTTTACTTTGTTGCTGTTAATTTTGCTTTTGTTTTCTACATGGAATCCAGGATGGGTAAATCTAGAGAGACAGTCAGTGGAGTCATAATAGTCCCTTGGGGGTGTGGCAGGGGAGGTGGGGGTGGGGGATGGGGAGCTAATGAGTACAAGAATGACGAAAATGTTCTAAAACCGATTGCGGTGATGATTGTACAACTCTCCTTGATGTGGCTAAACTGTTGAATTGTACAGTATGTGGAATTATATACCCATAAAATTACTGAAATAAAACAAAATGTTTAATTAAAAGGCAAAAGTGTATAAATGTGCTTGGCACAATGGATGGATGGATGGAGATAAGAGTTGTACGAGCCCCCAATAAAATGATTTTTTTTAAAAAGGCAAAATATCCCACAGCATCAAGGCCATTCTGACTCAGAGGGTTTCCGAGGCTGTCAATCACGACAGGTGCAGAAAGCCTCATCTTTCTCCCAAGGAGTGGCTGGTGAGCTTGAACTGCTGACCTGGAGGTTAGTGACCCACTGTGTTACCCACTACACCACCAGGGCTCCTTCCAGGTAAAGGGGAAGGAACTACGTTTGGCTGGAGAGTTTAAGAGGTGGTGCAGAGGGCATCACGAGCTGGGCTTGACGAGGAGTGAGAAAGGAGACAGATCTCGGGGCTGACATCACCGAGGGGTCAGCTTCAACCAGCAGCAGGGGAGACCCAGATCATCACCCAGGCCTCCCTATGTCTGTGTGGGGAAGGACACGGCGGCGGTGTGAAGCACAGCCTGCTAAAATCCTTAACCAGGATCTCATCAGGAAGAAGGGATCGGACAAATTCCAATGGAGGGGTGCCCTGCAGGAAACTGACATGCCAATGTCAAGGGTGGAAAAATCTAAAATCTGAGCTCTGTTCCAGATTAAGCACACGAGGAGATGTGACCGTGAGAGGCATGTGGGGGTAGATCTTGATTTGAGAGAGAGAGATGCCATAAAGGAGCGTCATTCTGATACCTTCAGGTGGCTAGAGGGTAGACAGGTATTAACTTGGGTGAACTGTAAAAAGAAAAACTTCAAAATCACTGCCACTGAGTCAAATCCAACTCACAGGGGCCACAGCCCTGCGGGTTCCTGAGACTGTAATTGTTTCTGCCAATAGAAAGCCTTTGTCTTTCTCCCATAGAGCGGCTCGTGGTTTCAAACCACTGACCCTGCAGGTAGCAGCTCAACCACTATGCCCCCAGGGCTCCTTTTAACTTGAAGGTGAAGGAAGTAGCCAACAAGGAAGAAACGTGGGTGTGAGAGGGAGAAGCCAGGGCAAGTCAGGGGGAGGGCTGATCAGTTGTTTAAGTTGTTGAGGGCAAAAAAATCTTTATCATCTGATGTGTCATCCTGATCTCATTCACAATAAAGTTTTGGGGGGTAAGAAAAAAACAAAAGCAGTCAAGGGACAACCAGCCGAGAGATGAACCGGATGCGGAGACTCGGCCTCTTTCCTCACCTGCAGCTGGGCGGCTGGCAGGTTGACGTCTGCGATCATCTCTGTGCAGGGGTGCTCGACCTGCAGGCGAGGGTTCAGCTCCAAGAAGTGGAAGCTGCCGTCCTGGCTGTACAGGTACTCAACGGTCCCTGCACTCATGTAGCCCACGGTCTTGGCCAGGCGGACAGCACACTGTGGGGACGAGAGGGACAGAAGGCCTCGCAAGAGGTTCCTAATGGCCTTTCTCACCGAAGTTCTCTGGACTAATGGAATCCCCCCACCCCCCACACAAAAAGTTATATACACACGTGTTTGTGCATAGGCTTACACACACACACAGAGTTTGCAACACCTAAACCAGTGACTGTGACCCTGTTTTGAGACTTCCTTTTGTCCTTGAAAGAGCTCATGTCAAGCTCCGAAGCTGAGTCATTTCTGGACACGTAGTCTTATAAAAAGGGACAGGAGGGACCCAGAGACCCAGAGCGGGGACACACGTACGGAGAGGCATCTATAATGCCACGGAATTGAACACGCAGCAACCCTGCATTTGCTGTTTGTTTTGCTGTTGTGTATTCTCGGCGGCAACGAAACAAATTCAACTGCTTTCCAAAAGGTAAGGGAGACATCTGCAAGCAGTCAGGGATGCCAGAAGCACCTTGGGGTGATGGCAAGAAGGACCCCCCAGTTCCTACCCCATGTCATCTATGTCCTGGTTCAACCTGCGATAAATTCCTGGTCCCTAGAGCCCCACCCATGGGATGTGACGCCACACCAGCATTGGGACCCAGGGGCAGCAGCTGACTACTTGCCTCCACACTCCCCACACACTCACTGTAGACCTACTATGTGTAACGTCGTTTGCGCTGCCCTGGGATGCTGAAACCATGTGCTCACCCACCCCGCCTTCCGGCAACCCCGACTCATCGGAAGCTCGTGCAGAAGCCCGCCCCCGCCCCTCCCAGGTCCTGGGACGCCCACCTGCTCCATGAACTCAAACACGGCCGGTGAGGCGATGGTGGCCGGAGCCTCCTCGATGATTTTCTGGTGCCGCCGCTGGATGGAGCAGTCCCTGCCAAACAGGGACACGGCATTCCCGTACTGGTCAGCGAGAATCTGGACCTCCAGGTGGCGGGCGCTCTGGGCCAGCTTCATGAGGAAGACGGGGGAGCCCGGGATCTCGCTCTGCACCTGGTTGGGCATGGAAGGAGACCGGGACAGGGCAGGGAGTTAGGGGGCAAGGCAGGGACACACGAGGCAGGCACCCAGCCCAGGACTTCTTAGCTTTATGTTGTGCTAAGAA